TAAAGAGATCAACCCATATGTCTATATTACTTTATTTTTTCTGGATATCATTTTTTTCTTTCCTGATTTTCACTTTGCTTTCTATCTTGTTCCTTCAGCCTCTCCAGTAGTTTAAAACATGGGCCTTTAGTTCTAGTCTAATTAGTGATGACTCTTAAATTTTTAACAAAGCTATTTAAATTTATATTTTTATTTAGCATCAAAGATTAATCAGTATCTTTGGTCTTCTCCCTGAACCAAACACACTTTCTCTCCCTTCCTCCTTCTATTCCCTCTACTATACCCTCCTAGGATTGTCCAGGTTTTGCTAAAATCTCTGGAACTGAAATCTGGCAAATGAATGAACCATGTAACAGGCAGAGGAAGGGGAAGTGGGGGTAACAGGAACAAGGTGCAGAGTGGCCAAGAACTGCAGGGTTGGCCAGGCAGCATTGCTGGCAAGGGCTCTGGTGCATTCATTGGCTCTGCAAATGCCTGCTGAGTTCAACCAGTGCTTTCTGCCCCAGCAGAGAGCAGGGCCCAGGGTGAGGACAAGGACTACAGGGAGCCACAGCCCGGAGGGGCAGTTGGCCACATATGAATGACCTTCAGCGCCAGATCCAGGCTCTGCAACCTGCCAGTACCTGAACAGAGGAGTAGTCTGACGGCTGACTTTTAGGAGGGGTTGGACGAGGCAGAGCCTGTGGGTATGAGGCCAATTAGGAGATTGTTGGAACCACCCAGGCAGGAGGCCACGAGGATCCCCATGTGAGAAAGAAGGGCATAAACAGGAAACACATTTAACAACTAAACAAAAGCACCTCCCTTGTGCACGAGGCTCTCTCGCACTGTGTCAGGCCCTGCATTTCCTGTCTTGGCGACTTGCCCGGCTGCCGGCTGCTGCCAGCCCCTGGCAACGCACAGCACCTGCACCGCGTCAGTGTGCTTAGCCGCCGCCTGCTCGCCTTGAAGAAGGCCCCGCAGGAGTTGCACTGGCCCCTCCTCGGCAGCTCTCCTGGGCCCTCAGGCTTCCCTCGGTCCTGCAAATGCCCAGGATCCCCCTCAGGGCTCACACAAGCCCCTCACCCACACAGGGCCGCCTCCCGCGGTGTGCTTTGTGAGAACATGCCGTCAAGCAGTCGGTAGGTTCCAGCAGGAAGGGATCACGCATGTCTGCCTCCCTCCTGAAGCCACGTGCCCGGACGTAACAAGTGTGCACCAGTGAAAGAGTGAACGATGTAACCTGTTCCCAGAAGAGTGTCCTAAAGTCAGTTGTTCTTAGTTGCACGTGACTAATAACAATATAAGTGACCCTGGAGAGGAGACTGAGGAGGTGTCAGGTAAGGGGAGTGGGCGGTAAAGAGCTTGTATCACTTTGCTGGGGCTGCTGTAGCAAAGTACTGCAAATGGGACAGTTTAAACAACAGAAATCCATTGTCTCCCTGTTTTACAGCTGCAAGTCTGAATTCGAGGTTTCTGAAGGGTTGATTCCTTCTCAGAGCCATGAGAGAATCTGTTCCACGGCTCTCTCCTGGCTTCTGGTAGTTTCAGGCTTTCCTTGGCTTGTAGATGGCATTATCCCTGTGTCATTACATATTCCGCCCTCTGTGTGTGGCTGTGTCCAGATTAACCCTGTTTATAAGGACATCAGCCATTCTGGGTTAGGGCCCACCCTAATGACCTCTTTTTAACTTGATTACCTCTGTAAAGACCCTACTTGCAAGTAAGGTCACATTCGAAAGTACTAGGGATTGGGACTTCAACATATCTTTTGGTTGGGGGACACAAGTCAACCCATAACAGGGTTGAATGTGGTCACATCTCAAATGACTGTAGCTCAAACAGGCCATAGCTAGGTGAGAATGACAGGTGGAAAATGACTGAGCACTTCGTCCTATCCCAACCTGAGGGGGGACACAAGTCAACCCATAACAGGGTTGAATGTGGTCACATCTCAAATGACTGTAGCACAGACAGACCATAGCTAGGTGAGAATGACAGGTGGAAAATGACTGAGCACTTCGTCCTATCCCAACCTGATGACTTCAAAGTCTCTACAGTGACCTGGCTCCCACGTCACTTCATGTCACCTGGAATGTTGCCTAAGTCACTCCCTCCAACTTTCACCACCCCCCTGTGACCTCCACACGTTCCTCGTCTTCATTCTCACACAGAACCTGATCCGGGCTATGTTCCCCTCCTTCAGTCTCTCCACAATATAGAAAGTCTTCATGGCTAATGAGGCCCATACCAATAACAGTAGGATACAACAAGCACATCATGTTAAGTCAGCGAACTCAATGTGAAGTGTCTTTCTTCAAAGTGGCCAACAGAGGAGGCAGCATTTTCACCACCAACTCTCACGTGGACCCCAGCGCCTAGGCTCTGGTTTCAAATACTGCTCTCCACTCACAGAAACCAGGACCCCTTAGAAAGTGAGGCTTAGGTGATAGCTGATCCCATGTCTCCGGGCAGGAGAGGATTAGGACAGGACTGGAAAGTTCTGTTGTTGCCAGAAAACAAGGATGCCTTCAAGAATATCAAAGAAAGTCTAAAGAGCACAAAGGAACCAACTTAAAGAGCTCCCGTTGTGCAAGTTGAGACAATTGAGCCTGAGAAGAAAGAAGATGAGAGAGGAATGATAATTATGGTTAACTAAAGTAAATTAAGGCTGTGGAAGGCCATGAGATCATTAGGGTACTCAAAAGATAAAGGTTAATATATAAATGGCACAAAAGATGGCTATATTAGAAAAGAATAGAGTATTTAAAATTGATTTTAATAAAAAGGGAACTGTTCATTTCATTTCTTCTATTAATTAAGTGTGTTTATAAAGCAAAGGGAATGGTTAGGAAGCCATGTAGCCCCACTGTCAGCATGGACTTTAGCAGAAGTAAGAATGTCTGAGGGGTGATGTCGGAGGCAATAATGAAAGAGAAGGCAGTTTCAATAGTAGGTACCAAGATGAAAATTAACCAAAAAACATACTAAAAGGAAGAGCTAACCAAGCAGCCCAATTTCCTCATCTCCTACAAGATCGAATACCTAGATTGCTCTGTGTGCAGCTGTGTGGAAGGTGAGAAAAAATGGGGGAGAGACACGGGAAGAGACACAGAGAGAGACGGAGTGGACCCCCCATTCATTCATTGTTGGCCGAGCGCCTCCACTGGTCCAGACACTGCTCTGGGGCTGGGGTGCAGCAGTGAGCAGAACAAAGTCCCTGTCCTTGTGGTGCTGACACTCTAATAGTCTGGGGGACACAGAATCTACACATGCAGATAGGAATGACTACAGAGAGGGGGGCAACCAGAAAGAGGGACAGAGACAAATAAGACCCTAAGCCTGAGAGAGTCACCTCAGGATTGTAGAAGAGACAGGTGCTGAAAGCAGGCAGCCCCTGCCCCTGCCCTGGGAGTCCAAGGTAGAAAAAGGATTGGTGGGGAGGCTGAGGTGATAGAGAAGGGAGTGTGGTTGGTGATAGGAAAGGTGGGCTGACCGGGAAGGTGTCCCAAGAAGGAATTCTTGATGCAGGATGGAGCATTATGGCAGATACTGGGACAGGAGGATTTTCTCTGAAAACCCCCACCTCCCACTCAGGCAGGCAGCCCCCCGTCCCTCGGGTTCTGGTGTTTATCCTCCTCCTGCCTGCTCTCCCGCAGCTGCCCAATCCCCTGGGACCTGGGGTGATTCCCAGGCAGTAGGGAGTGTACATGCTCCTGGGCCATCGAGGGTGAAACACACGGCACAGAGAAAAGAGAATCCGGAAGCCACATCCCCTGCAACCACTCCTGCTAAATTCTGTCCCGGCTTGGCTCCTGGGAAAACCAAAGCGAGGGCGGGAGAGACAGCAGTGCAAGGTGCGGAAGCAAAGAAAGAGACTGCGGCATCGCTTGGAGTAAAAGCAGCAAGTGCCTCCGCAGGTGGGGTTGTTGGCTCCCATGTTTTCCTCTCCCTTTCCCTTCTCCCTTTTCTCTTTTCCTTTATCATCATCTGCTATTTATTCAGCAAGTGCTCCGTCTGCGGTTCTCTGGGGCACAATGAGCTAAGTGATGCGTGTCAGGGAGGAGATCAAGGCATCCCCCGCTTCCATGAAGCTTGACCTTCTGGGGAACAAAAGACAAGCACAGACCACGTGAGCTTCTCCAGCGCTCTGTCTCTGAACTAAAGGGCATTCATCCCACCTGGCCCTGGTGCTTGCTCCCAGGACCTCGTCCTTCCCTCCTGACACAGGTGCCCTCTCAATGAGTCCCAGTGCCCCTCCTCCCCTTTTCACATTCCAGGACAATTCTGGAACCATCTCTCATGTTTTCCTCTCCCTTTCCCTTCTCCCTTTTCTCTTTTCCTTTATCATCATCTGCTATTTATTCAGCAAATGCTCCGTCTGCGGTTCTCTGGGGCACAATGCGCTAAGTGATGCGTGTCAGGGAGGAGATCAAGGCATCCCCCGCTTCCATGAAGCTTGACCTTCTGGGGAACAAAAGACAAGCACAGACCACGTGAGCTTCTCCAACGCTCTGTCTCTGAACTAAAGGGCATTCATCCCACCTGGCCCTGGTGCTTGCTCCCAGGACCTCGTCCTTCCCTCCTGACACAGGTGCCCTCTCAATGAGTCCCAGTGCCCCTCCTCCCCTTTTCACATTCCAGGACAATTCTGGAACCATCTCTCCCACCCGGCCAGGGTGAGACCATGAGGCTCCACCCTCAAACACTAGGGCTTTGGTCTCTTGCAAGGGATGGGGACAGCAAGAGAGCATCTGCAGGGGACCCCAGAGGGATGTGGGGGTGGCTAGGAAATGGGTGTGGACAAAACTTACTTCAGTGTGTGCCCAGAAACAAACACGCCGAGAAGAAGCAAATTCAATAACTGCTTTTGTTTTATTGAAGATCAACATGGGGGCCTTTGGGGGGCACTGAAGAGTGGGGGAAATGCTAATTAAACCTGGGTTCAGCTCACACTGCAAGGGGTGGGAGCAGGACTCCCTCCTTTGACTTCCATCCTCAGGTTTCCCCTTTGTCGTGCTCTAGCCCCACTGAGACCCAGGGTTCTGAGGACTGGGGATGTCAGCTGGGATGTCCCAAGAAGAACCAGGAGGTTGGAGAATTCTGGGAGGAAATTGATTATTGATACCTGGCTGTGGATGAATATTTCCCCAACTAGTACCTGGATACCGATTAACATTTCCCCAGCTGCCTCCTGGATACCGATTAATATTCCCCCAACTGGTACCCGGAAATTGATTATTGATACCCCAGATTCCCGCAGGGTGTGGCATGGGCCTTGTTCCCCACCCAGTCCCAGGACCTCCACCTCCCCAGGACACACTGGGATTCAGGGTCCCCCAGGGGTGACCAGGGAGAACCCTGTGGATGAGAGACCAGGGTGGGCGTTGAGCAAGGATTTCTCTCTGGGCTCCCAGCACATTAGAACGGGGGGGCCGTCTGGACTCCGAGTCCTGGTGGAAGGGTGAAGCCTCAGGTGAGGGGCCTGCAAAGTGTGCAAAGGACTCTGCAGGCAAAGGGCCGCTGCCCAGAGGGAGGGCGACAGCACTGGAAAGGTAAGACAGTCCTTCAGGCAGCACTTCCCCCAGGTGGTCCTCAGCCACAGCAGCCATCACCTGCCAAGGATCTGCAGAGGGCCAGGAATCCATGGCAGGCAGCCCCCCAGATGGAGGCCACCTCTGCCCCCCAGAACCTCCTGCAGGCTGGGCACCATCTGATGGACGAGCGTGGAGAATCAGAGGAACCCTTGCTAGATCGTTAGACCTCGGGTCTGGTTCAGGGCGAGGACGTTCAGAGTTGGAGGCACCGGTCAAGGAAGGTTGCCCAGGAAGAGGCAAGTTGGTCCCTAAATTCTGGGAAACTTTCTCCTCCACTACACCAATGCTCCGGGCAAAGAGTCCTGAGGGAAAAGGAAAATAAAGCAACCAGTGTTCTCTGATGTTTAGTCCCAGCACCCTCCCTTCCCTGATTCCCTGATTCCCTTCACCTCAAACCCCTCTACCTCCCCTTCGCGAATTCTTACTTTCCTCAAGGACCGGAGTGTGTACCATCCTGCCCCAGGGAACTGGAATTAAGGGAATTTTCCTTAATTCCCTGGGAGACTCCAGTGCCCTCCTGCTCATGGCTCGGGCATGGCCTCCTTACCTGGGAGGTGAAGACAGACCAGGAGCAGGCCCAGAGGAGCACGGCTCCCAGCCACGCGGCCCCACATCCTGCTCAGCTCCAGCATCTCCCAGCCCCGAGACAGCCAGCCCTTTATCCTGTGAGTGGGGTGGGGGCCAGCAGAAACAGGCCAGGCCAGTGGCTGAGGAGACAATAAATCTCCACATTCCACCCTCATTCCTTTTACAGCCTGTGGCAACAGGTGCCACTTGAATATCCTGAAGGAAGCAGGGTGTTTCCCCATCCTGGCTCCTTGCCTTGAGCGCCCTGTCCCTCTTGATCCAGGTGTCCTGGCTCACAGCTCAACCCAGTTGCCAGCCCTCCCCTTCCCCGGTTTCCTCCACCAAGCACAGGGAGACCTTCACCCCAGGTCCTAATCTCTTCATTGCCTCTCTCAGCAATAGAAACACATGGTTCTCCTCTTTCTCTTTGGGATCCAGATCATTCTCTCCCAGCACCCCTTTCTCATGCATCCCCAAATCTCCTTCACCTGGACCCCAACTTGCAGGAGGTTCAGGGGTGCAGACGTGGCCTCTCCTGAGGGGCTGCTCCTAGGCAAGACCTGGTATCTAGGGGAACGGGCCTGGTTCCTATCCTTACCAGATGATGATGTATTGATTTCCTGCTGCTGCTGTGACAAATTGCCACAAATTTAACAGCTTACAACAACATAAATTTATTATTTTACAGTTTTGGATATCAGAAGTCCAAAATGGGTCTCACTGGATTAAAATCAAGGTGTCAGCTGGGCAGTACTTCTTTCTGGAGGTTCTAGGGGAGAATCCCTTTCCTTGCCTTTTCCAGCTTCTGGAGGCCACCTGCATTCCTTGGCCCATGGTTTCCTATCTCTATCCTCAAAGCCAGAAACAGTAGGTTATTCTCACATTGTATCGCTCTGACTTCCTCTTCTGTCTTGCATGTCCACATTTAAAGACTCTGTTATTACACTGGACCCACCCAGATAATCCAGGATAATCTCCCTATTTTAAGGTGAGTTGACTCACAACCTTAATTCCATCTGCTACCTTAATTTCCCTTTGCCATGTAGTCAAACATATTCGCCATTTTCAGGGATTAAGACGTGGACATCTTTGGTAGTGTTGGGGGTGGGGACACCATTCTGCCTGCCACAGATGGTCAAGTGTATCCATAGAATATAAGAAACACTTAGAAAGAGTGACTGTTTCCAATTAACAGTAGAGGAGGGTATTTAAATGCTGTTGTTAAATGGCTGTGATTTGATAATTGTTGAAGCTGGGTGATGGAAGCATGGGGATTCATTAACTATTTTGTCTACTTTTAAATATGTTTGAAATTTTCATAATAAAAAGTGTCTAAAAGCCTTTGTTCTCTCCATTGCTTCTAAGAGGCCCCCAGTGTGGACTTCTCTGGCTGCCTGATATCAACACACTGTTAGCTGATTTTACTCTTCCGTCCTCATCTCCAGCCCCTACTGGAAGAATGAAGAGCTCCTCTCCTCTCCACTGGCCAATGGGTGGGGCTCAGTGGCCTTTTGGATGCCATTCGCTGGTTTTGCAAAAGCTTTCAACCTGGACCACACCAGGGACTAAAGGAGTCCCCACATCAAAAGGCGTTCCTCTCCCTGCAATTCCCATCTGCAGTCCCCGAGGGCCTCGATTCCTGCCACTGGCTGCAGTCCATGGGCCAGATACTGGACCAAGGTTGACTCAACAGTGATTACAGAAATAGGACTGTTTTGGATCCCTGAAGGTTGGCTCAGCTGCCTAAAGTCATTTCTGGTCCATGTAATACATTTTTGCTGGTTCTGGACTTGGACTTTCAACAGCTCAAAATTCAGGACCAGCTAATACCATCTCAAAAGGAGAGAATGGGTTAGATCCTAGGGTACAGGGAAACTCCTTTGCAGCCATTTGGAGGCTCTGAGAGGTGGCCGGTGCTTGGGGGTGAGGCACAGCCCTCTCCGCCCTCCTGGCACATGAGAACTTCCTCGGCCTCAGAGTCTCCCCTGCCCATCACCAGGATGTAAGTGGCATGGCCCTACCCATGCTCTCCACTCCTCTCTTCTCCCATGGAGGCCACCTCTCCTTCTCCACTCAAGTGCTCTGCCCGGTCACCTCTCACCTGGGAACCACATCATTCATGGCTCTCACTCTGGAACCATAGCAAAGCAGCGAGAGTGTGGAGGTGGAGAGGACACTGCTGGCTCTGTCCTGCATGGGCTGGAGCCTTTTTACGCAGGCCAGTGAGTCACTGTGCGTGGCTGCACTCCCTGCCGTGCTCCCATCCTGTCTTTTGCTTTCTCCACCCCCAGCTCCCAGAACAACACCTGCCCCAGCTCCTACTCAGTCACTAGGAATCTGGTCTGGGTTGTTGTGTCCCAGCCTTCCCAAGGTTCCAGGTGTCCCAGAAACACAGGAAATCTACACTTATGACTCCCAGATAGGATGGTGTCTAGAAGGTGAGACACGCAGATGATAGAGAAGGAGCCTACGTGGGGAGGAAGGATCTGGGAGACCAGGCAACCTCTGCTTTCAGTTCAACAAATATTTAAATATTGTTTTCCTCCTTTGTGGGAGGAGCTGTAAGGTATAAGAGAAATGCTGGTCAACTTATGAATGAAAATAGGGACCTCTAAAGGCATAGGAGGAGCACTACCCAGGTTCTAAGAGGAGACCCAGGACTCCAAGAAGGCAAAAAGTCTGCATCTAGTTCACAAAGTTTATTGAGCCATCTGTCCAAAGTCCAGAGAGAGCAGGGAGCCTGCTCCAGTCTCTGAGGATGTCCTGGCATCTCCCTTACAGGGAACATCTGAGCATTGAGGCGAGTGGCAGCCAGGAATGGGGCTGAGATGGAGACCTCGAGAGGCAGGGGGTCTGTTGAAAACTGATCTCAGAGGGCGTGGTGGGCTCTGTAATGGAGGGTGGAGGTGGAATTGGGATTGAGAACCCATTTCATTGACCAGATGGTGAAGAGAAGTCAGTAAAAAGTGGTCATTGTTTTCAGATCATGGTTTGGACTTTGCTTTATTTGGCAAAGGGGGAGAGGAAAGGGGAGTCCAGGCATTAGAGGTTCTCTGGGAGCATTTGAGGGGTTCTCTAGTCAACGACCTGAATGGGTATTGTTGGTCAACAGACCATCTCAAGAAACAGCAGGGGAAATTTCAAGGGGTGGTTATCTGGCAGAGGGCACTGCGGTGTAATGGAAATCTAAGCAGTCAGAGAGAATGAGGAAAGGGATTTGGAGTCTACCACTTTGGGTACATGCGGTAAGAAGTGATAAGGGAGAGTCCGCAACATTAGGGTGGTGGAGGAAGTGGAGCAGCTGTCTTGGGAGGGAGAAGGGAAACTGAGCTCGCCCTATGCCTGGGCCCCTGGACTGCTCCCAATCGGGTGGTGGTGTGTGTGTATATGTGCATGCCTGTGCAAGCACAGATGCAAAACTGACTTATGGACTATCAAGTAACCCTCCCTGGGGAAGGAAAACTTCAGGGTCAGCAAGCTGGGGCCCCAGGGGCTTCACTTGGGCCAGGACGTCCCGGATGGAGCGGCAGGGAATCCTTCCAGAGCTGCTGGGGCCACAGGGCTTGGCACCAGCAGAAGGATCAGGTTGGGGAGAGCCGTCAGGACCCCCGCTCAATGTCGAGGAGGAGACAGAAGTGCAAGGATGACCAGAAGAGCTGGACTTGCTGCCACAAGGCTGAAGGATGATTTTGCCACCGGATTGGGAACTGGAGCTGCCGCTGAAGGAGCCGGTGCCTGATGGGGAGCAGGGCCCCTGGGAAGCACTGCCACAGGGATGGGAGGATGACCCAGAATTGACGGAAATGCTAGAACTGCTGTGGACTCTAGAACTGGAGGGGGAGCAGGGCCCCTTAGAGCCTGTGAAACCAACCCCACAGGGCTGGACCCCGCCAGAGCCCACTGGCTGGAACACGATGGCTGAGGAAGCTCCCGACTGGTAGACGCTGGAACTGGAAGAGCCATGGCTGGGGACGATGGGGTTGCTGGAGAAGTATTTGCCCTCCGAGATTGGGGGCCCAGCTGCAAAGGAGGGCACCCCTGGAGAGCCTTTGACAGGGTTATCTTTGGTGAAGTAGCCCACAGGGTAGATTTTACCTCCACTGTAGGTCATGCCTGGGACCAGATAACTATTAGAGGAGCCACCCACCACCTCATAGCCACCATAGGATTTGTCTACAGAGGTGATGGGGGGGCAGGGCTTGCCTGGAAGGCCTCCACTGCTACAGGGGGCACCTTGAACCACTCCAGGGCCACCAGAGCCATGCTGCTCTACTACCACCACCACAGGCCTCTGGCCCCCTGACACAGAGTGGGAGCTGGAGATGTAGGAGCCAGAGTGTGAGACGATAGGCCCCCCACTGCAGGGAGAGTCGGGGATGTCGGAACTACAGGGACGCAGGTTGGAGCTGACCTTTTGGCCACTGCTGCTGGACATCCCATAGCTTTGGGAAATGGAGGAGCTTCCTCCAGACTGGGAAGAGCTTATTAACAAGCGGGAAGAATCAGCGTTGGTTGGTAGAGCGGAGCCATGCCCTGCTTGGTAGTTGGTGATTCCCGACTGGGAACTGCTGCTTCCTGACTGGGAACTGCTGGATGCACCTTGTAGACTAGAGCCAGATCCGGAGGAGTAGCTGGTCTGCGAATACCCTGTTCCTGGCTTAAATGCCGAAGATCCTGAAGAACTACCCTGGGCGGCACTGGATCCACTGGAGCCAGCACCGGAGACACCAGAACCACTGGAGCCACCACCAGAGCCAACACTGGAGCCACTGGAACTGGAAATGGAGCTGCTGTAACTGCTGGAGACACTGTGGCTACTAGAGCCACCCTTCCCAGTGACACAGGGGTCATTGGGGGAGGTGATACGTGTGGGATCCTTACAAGGGTCTGAGAAGGTCCCGATGCTCTTAGCCAAGGTCCCTGGGGAGGAAAGTAGTGGTTAGTAAGGGCCAGGGAAGCCTGCCTTTCTCCCTCACCTCCCAGTCCCATCTCAGTCATCTGCCACTCTGATTTCTCCTGAGGGATCCCAGGGAGAGTCTGGAGGTGGAAAAAGAAAGGAGAACTGGCTGTTGTCTCTAAAGGACACTGAGATTGCAGAAAAAGAGCATTTCATTGTTCTGAGGGTGGGGAGGAGGCCAAACATCTACCAGAAAATGAGACTTCAAAGTGGGAGGCCTCAAAGGAGCACCCTGAAGATAAGAGGGAAGGGAGAAGTGGCAGGAACAAATAGGTCTAAAGGAAAGGACCCTAAAGAGACAGAGTGGGGAGACTGAGACTCAGAGGTGGGGGCATAAATCGCAAGGGAAAAAAACCCTGGGCCACACCGCAGGGGACCAGATAGAAAAAGACAAATGCAAAACAGTGGAGGGCTGAGACTGGAAGCAAAAATATAGTAAGAGACGATGGGAAAGGGAACCTGATAGCAGAAGGGCTGAAATAAAGGATAGGGTACGTGAGGGCTAAGATTCGGTCACCAGCTTCCTCACGAGAGTCCAGGCTTGGGTAAAAGGTGGAAATCCTGCTTCCTGTCTCAGCGCTGGCCCTGCCAGTACAGCTGGGTGGGGGCCAGGATGTGGGGGCACCTGTTGCTTCAGAACCTGCTGGTACCAGTGTGACAGGACACCGCACCCTGAGCCACCCCTGCTCTGGCGGGCCCAACCCAGGGACACCTGGGTGAAACCCTCCTCCAAGGATAAGGACCTTTATCAGTTTCCCTCCCTCCCCACCCAGCCATCACACGCATGCGCCTGCCTGGCCCCCCACTGTCATCACACGCATGCGCCTGCCTGCCCCCCACCCAGTCCACATCTGACTTCTGACTTCACTTCCCTCGCAGATGTGAAACCACTTCTTTCCTTAACTGACCCTTTGCTCCTAACACCCAGGCTCAACTTACCCCCATCCTTCCTCCACGACCCTCTTTCACACGAGTTTCCTCTGCCCATCCCAACTCCTTCAGGTCCCAAGTGGCCTGGACAGAGCCACATACTAGCAAGAGACTAAACCCGTTGAGCTTTCACTTAAACTTTCAGAGAGGCTGAAACTGCCCTGCCTTCCACACAGCATTACTATGAAGACTAAATGAGGTTATCTATGTGGAAGATGCCTTTAAAAACATAAAGCATTAGACGTTATGATTTATTATTGCCCTCATCCTTCAGCCCTCCGCCAGCAACCAGATCTCCAGGCTGTGATGTCCTCCTTCTCTCCTCAGAAAGAAATCCTCTGCGCGCACCTTCACGCCAAACCCCAGCACTGCCCACAGCCCTCCACTCCTCTGCACAACCCAGCAAGCGTTCCCTCTCCTCCTCTGTTCCCCCAGACACCACACACCCTGCACTCCATCCACCCACCAGACCTTGCGGAAAGTCACAGAAACTCCTCAAGGGCTGCAAATAGCTGGTGGTCAACAGCAGAGCCCAGGAGTCACCCAGCCTGGGGTTTGAATCCTGGCTTCACTGCTTTCTAATTTGTGATCTTGAGATAGTTTCTTAACCTCTCCAAGTCTCAGTTGTTCTTATTTGTAGAAAGGGAATAACAAATCTTCTCTCAAATGGTTCTTGCAATGATCAAAAGTGTTAATTTATATAAAGTGTTTAGAATGGTGCCTAGCACATAAAAAGAGCTCTAAAGCTGTTAATAATTACTGTTACTATCAAATATCCAATCTTCATCTTCTAGCACTCTCATAATAATAATAACCGCCACCACCAATAGTTATATAACCCTCTAGAATTTCTAAAGCACGTGTCATATACATTAGAGATGCACAGAGAGACTAGAGCTAGGTGTTATTACTGCCCCCATTTTAGAGTTTCAGAAACTGAGGCTCAGAAAGTTTAAATAATTTGTCTGAGGTGACAAAGCAGTGAGGAGCAGCCCTTGGACTCAAACATCAGGTTCCAGATCCCCTGCCCTTCCCTGCTTCTGGGTCCTTCCCTGGGCACTCCCTCCCAGGCACTGGATAACCCCCTTTCCCTGGCCTGGTGTCTGTGTCCCTCCTCTCCCTCCCGCTCCCAGGGCCCCCAGCCTCCTACCTGGCAGGAGGAGACCAGCCAGCAGCAATGCCATCATCCCTCGCCCTCCCACACGCCCCATCCGGGGTGCCCGAGAGGAGCCCATCTCGGACTGTGCAGCCTTCTGACTGACAGCAGCTCGTGGACACCCAGGTCCTTTATGCCAGGGCTGGACATTCTCTGAGCAATAGTCACTGTGGGGAGGAGAGGAGGGGTGGAGGGGGTGGATGCCCCAGGGAAGTTGGTGTGGCTGGGAGGAGCTGGAGTAATCAGCCTGGAGCATCTGTCTACTCAGCAGCGGTGGTGGTTGCAGTGTGGGGTACCCATGACCACAGGGCCCTAACGATCCTGCCACCTGACTGGCCTGCCCCTGGCTCGTCATTGCCTAACCTGGAACCAGGCACTCTGCCCCAAGTGGGCGGCCACTCTCACCATGGGACCCAGTCGCCTGCCTCCCTCACTCTCCTGCCTCCCCTGGCCCGACCTGTCCAGCTCCCATCCTCTCTCCACTCTCAGCAGACTGGGCATTTCAGCTTTCCCTTCAGCACTGGGTAGCTGCTCCAGCCCCCATACACCCCATGGTCCAACCCCACCGGGGCTCCCATCCACAGCCCTGGATCTGCTCCTTCCCTTGGGATCCCATCACTCAGCCTCCACTTTCTTCCTTCAGATATGAAGACCTGTCCCCACCGCCTAGTCTACTTCCTTCCTGTTCTCAATGTCCAAGTACTAGGCCCGCCACACACCTATTACCTGTCCCCTCAGTGATTGAACCTTTTCTCTCTCAGAAACTGGGCACCCGCATTCTGAAAGCCAGTTCCCTGACCTCTGCCTTCTGGGGAACTCCCCGGACAGCATGAGGGTGCTGGGTGTCAGGGCCCAGCCTGGGGAGAGGCCTGGGCTGGGGACCCCAGTCACAGCTGGGCCTCAGTTACTCACAGGTCACTCACAGCCTGTCCCCCACGCTGGTGACCCAGGCTGCAGTGTGTGAGCAAGAGGCAAATAAGGTTAATTGGGAAGGTGGTGGCCCCATTAGCTGGCTCCCTGGCCTGGATGAGTGAACAGGAAGCAGCCAGCTCGTGTCTGGGTAGTTTAAAGGAGGGCCAGGCAGGATTCTGGGTCCCCAGGGATGGAGGACCGGAGTCCTGGCACCTGCGAAGTGGGTGGTGCATTTCCCTGCCTCCTGCTCTGGCCCTGGATCCACCCCAGCCAATGAGTCGCTCACGAGTATTGCCCAGAGTATCAGTATCAGTATCGGAGGGAGGGGCTGGGAGCCGTCGGGTGGGTCGGGCTGCCCTCTCCTCCCCCAGGCTGCCTCAGCTCCCCTCGCCCAGACTCCCGTCTCCTCACCAGGACAGCTCCATCCCCGGAACCCGGGGTCGGTCCTCCCCCTCCGTCTCCCTCCTGACATGCCTCTAACGCCAGCCAAGCGCGATGAAGGAAATGTCCTCTACCTGTGCTGTCTGACGCGGTAGCCACTAGCCACACGAAGGAACTGAATCTTTAATTTTACTTGATGTTAATTTAAATGTAAATAGCCACATGCAGCTAGCGGCTACCTTCTAGTCTACTCCTTGATTTTCCGCCAGCACTCGGAGTGGGAGTGGGAAGGAGGAGGGGCTGTGGGGGGTGCGGGGAGAGGAGGTAGCCGATGGCGTCCCCTGAAGGCAGGTGCCGCGGGGGACACGCGCACGCAAGGCGGGCTTTAGGCAACTCGCCAAACCTTTCTGAACTTCCATTTCTTCATGTGTAAAATGAGAATCTTTTAAGCAATGCCTGCCTCGTAAGGTTTTTGTGAAGATCAAACAGGAAGCTATCAGAAAGACTAAATGGCAGAAGGGGTGTGTCGTCCTGGCACAGGTGCCGCGCAGTTGGGGCCCTACAGCTGCTCCCGTCAGTGTCCCCCCCGTGGGGGAAAGCAAAACGGATGGGTTCACCCCACGGCCCACAGCCTGGGGCTCTCTCCCCAGCCCAGCGGACCCTGGAGGAGTCTCCTCTGCTCCCTTCCTGCCTCATACAGAGCGACAGACACAAACATGAGACAAGAGACGCTATTTAAAATGATGTCGCTGTTTTTGAACGTCGAATGCTCCCTGCGCTCCTCCCTAGACTCTCAGGCCCGGCTCCGTCTAGGACGTGGGGAAGGAGACGGGGGGCTCCGGGAGCGGGCAGGGAGTGGCCGAGGAGTGGGGGGCCCTGTGGGCTGGAACACGCTGGGCTCGTGCCCAACAGTGGGTGGGGAGAAGCGGAGGCGCCGCGGGGCCTGCGGGTTATTCTTCCCGAGACAAACCTCTCCTGGCCGGCCAGAGGGGGCGAAGTTTGTCCTGTTCTCTCGCTCGCGTTCCTCCCGGCTGCCGTCAGGCCCCGGCCAGTCTCTCTCGGCCTCCCGCCATCTCCAGCCACCCACGCAGGCTGGGGCTGCAGCCGCATTCCTCCTCCCGGCCGCCCTGTTCCTCGACGGCCCTGCCCACAGCGGGGCCCTCTGAGCTCCAGTCCACTCTCCCTGCTTCTTACTGAAATCCTTCCTGCCCTGCTGTGTTTGACACGCTGCTCACCATTTCTGTCAGCTCAGGCGGTGAAAACCTGAAGCTAATGGGGCTGAGGAGGGAAGGGAAGGACATTGGCTGAGCTCCTGCACAGGCCAGGGTCACCTTCCGGGAAGCTGGCCGGTGTGATGATGTCCACAGTGGTGCAGGTGCGTCTGCTGCATCCAATAGCAATAGATTCTACTCCTGACCCTACTGGTGAGAGCACAGCCCAATGGGTGGACTGGGTGAGAAAGTGTGGGTGGCACAAAGCACCCTCCCACCCCCAGAGAAAACAAGCTCAAAGCATGCACCTTCTATAGGCAAGAGATGGGGGTCCCCGCCTTGTATTTATGAACAAGGCAGGTCGCTGTCCACTCTAGCAACCCTGTGCCTCCATCTCTTCTGTGCCAGGCACTGGATCACCATATGCGCTCCCGTGCTATGCTTTGGAAGTAGCAACAAGGAGGAAGACAAATCGTCCGGCTGGGGACACCGAGCATAGAGAGGAAGCTAGAGTGGAGGAGGAGCAGGCACTTGTCTGCAAGGAGGTGGCAGGACCTTTCCTGGGCCTTGAGGAATGGGAAGAGCGGGAGCAGGCCGCTCAGACTCAGGGCCCTCGCGGTGCTTAGGGTTTATCAAAGCGAGTGGACAGCCTGTGTTGGTGTGGGAAGCACATGCAGCAGGGCGAAGAATGGACAGGCTGCTTGGCCAGGATTATAGATGATCTGCAGCAGCAGGCTAAAGGAATTTGGCTTTTATGGAAAGTGGAGTAAATGTGGGAGGGCACAGAGAACCAAAGGACTTTGAATGGTCAAAGGGGAAGCTTGGGGCAAGAGAATCACCATTTACTGATGGCCTACTGCAGCGCCAGATGCCATCCCGGGCATTCGACATGTGTTTATTCTCACAAAAGCTCCCTGGTGTAAGTGCTTTTTCTCCCTTTTTCACAGGTGAGGAAACTGAGTTTCAATTGTTTGTCCAAACCGGCTGCTAACAAGCAAAAAATTTGAAAAGACAAACCTAGGCCTGTTGGACTTCCAAGCCCACATAGATCCCATTCCTCTGAGCAGCTGGTATCGTGCTATAAATCAATGAATGGCAGCGGTTCATGGACAGACTGCAGAGGTTCCTTAAGTGCTGTAAGAATGTGTGCAGAATTCCTTGTGTGTGTACATCTTCCCAGAGAAGATTTCATCTTCTATCAAATTATCAAAAGTTAGGAAGCTCTAAGTGAGAGAGACTGCAGCACACGCTGTCCCTCCCACTCAGCTTTCCTTCTCTGTATTCATCTGTGGATCTAAAAGTTAGGACAGAAGTTCTAGAACAAGTGTTTCATGAAGGGGTCCTTGGTAAACCTGGGGCTTAGGATTTGGAGAAGGAAAATGGATGAACAAAGACAGGAAGAGAAAAGCCCTGAAAGAGGAGCGTATTTTGTTTGTTTGGGTTTTGTTTTTTGTATTTGCAGCTGGGCACACGGGGAAAGCAGCCACCCAGGCCACTCTGGGGCTCCAGGACCTGTGGGCTCCTCCCCTCCCTGTTCCTATCTCTGCTCAGCTCTTTTCCTCTCCATCACACCCACTCCCCCATGTGGACTCACCTCTCCAGTTCTAACAACACCCTCCTCTCCCACATGGAAGCCGGTGACCCTGGCCTACTCCCAGTGGATTATATCCTCTGAGTTGTTTTTCCTGTAGTGGGGATGGGGGCCCTAAGTCACCCACACTCTTCACCTGGTCCCTCTGGTGACAGAAGGAGAGGACGCATCTGTGCGCAGGAGTTCCTATCCCTCTGTGCTAGGATGGGCCCTCCTTAGCCCAGATGCTGCACTGGGACTGGCTAAACTTCTCAATTCAGTTTTAATCTCACCTCTCTGCCTTCCTCTTGGGAATGCCCCTCACATCTGCAATTTTTTTCCCTGTGGTAGACAATCTGGGAAAGAATCCACATCCCCCATGGTTTCAGCTGTGACAGAAACCATCTCCCCCTGGGCCGAGTGCTCCATGGCAGTGGGCAAAGCATGTGTGTTCACTGAGTTCCCAGCACTTAGCTGTGGTAGGCACTTGGCAGTTTTTGGAATAAAAGAAGGAATGAGTGTGTTCAGGCCACACACCCCCTTTCTGTCTTACTCAGAAACACATCTCCCTCCTCTCTGGTTTCCATGAGCTCTGCTCCTCCCGACCACACCTACTGGGTGCAAAGCCCTCTCCAAGTGCTGCAGGGTACAACTGATGTCCGAGGCCTTGTCCCCAGGAGTGCTCAGTTGGGGGTGAAGGGCAGATGGGTGTGCTTGGCTCTGACACACAGCCACTCTTCCAACTCCCTGTGCTCTGTCCCACCCTCATTCCTCCTGGGTGACTGTCTGCTCTAAGCCATTCTTCACTGTCCTGGATTATCTCTATTTTTTTGAGGGATGCAACATGCTTCCATTAACAAATAGCAGAGCTCACATGGCCATAATGAGGAAGTAATGGGATTTCCCCCTGGACGAGGCATTAATCTGATGCTGGGGTGGGGTAGAATGGTGCTGTGTAATTTAGATATCCCCTAGAGGTTCTGTTGGTGCCCGCTCCTCAGTGCA